CCAGACCCAAAACGTCAGCTTTCCTGCTCCTCTTTTGCTACCTGGCCTGCTGTGTTCCTCCAGCTCCACACTGTGTTACCCCATTAGTAGCTATTCAATCTCCTAGACTGATCGTTATCCACTCCTTTGTTTCTCCAACTCCTCTCTCTATGGGGTCTATTTCCACCTATCGTGGAGCCAAAATGTTAACAGATTTCTCTTCACAGGTGCTGCCAGACCTGCTGAGCTTTTCCAGCGATTTCGGTTTTTGTTTCTGACTTCCAGCAGTTCTTTTCATTTTTACCAATGTGTGGTGTATCCACTCCAAGAACAATATTTCCTTCCTAGGAAAAAAATCAATTCAGTTTAATTCACAAGCACTAAAACAAACAACACACAGGGCCTGGTCTATCAGACAATTTATCTGACAGCAAATTCACAAAGGACTACTTAACAAGCCTTTCATGGGATTCATCCATGTAAAACAAATACAGAAATTCAAAAAAATCTTTGCAGTTGGTCGAAATCTTCAGGATCAGTTTTATGAATTGCCAGATGAACAGATTTTTTTTTTTTAAATGGAAAATGAATAAAGTAAAAAAAAAGTGTGGGAACAAATTTAATTATTCCCTTATACAAGGGAACATGCATTGCCTTACTCACCTCTAATGTGGAAGAACCTGCTTGCAATGACTTGTTTGACGTACCATAATTTAAAAAGGCTGCAAGGGACAGGCCAAATAATTATAGACCAGTCAGTCTGACCTCAGTGGTAGACAAATTACTGGGATCGATATTGAAAGGCAAGATTAATTGTTACTCGGAGAGGAACTGATGGACCAGAAATAGTCAGCATGGTTTTGTTAAGGAAAGGTCCTGTCTTCCAAATTTAATTGAATTTTTTGAGGAATGAACCAGGAGGATTGATGGGAGTAGAGTTGTGGATGCTGGCTACGTGAATTTTAATAAGAAGATATTTGACAAGATCCCACATATCAAAACCGCAAAAAAGTGCACGGAACACAGAGGTATGTGGCAATTTGATTAAAAACTGGCTCAGGTGACAGGAAACGAAGGGTAATGGTCTAAAAATGTTTTTGGAAATGGAAAGCACTGGTGTTCCACAGGGTTCAGTTTTGTGCCTCTTGCTGTTGTGGCATATATTAGTTATGCAAACTTAAAATATTGGAAGAAACAGTGGGAAATTTGCAGATTCCACAGAAATTGGACAGATAGTTGGTAATGAAGAAGATGGACGTCACTCCAATAGTGGTTCTGAAGAACTAGTCTTGCTCCTGGCCAAGCCATTCCAGTACAGCTACAACACTTTCATCTAACCAACCATGGGTATATTTGCCCAAATAAACCTTGTGCACAAAAAGCAGGACAAATGCAACCTGGTCAATTACCATGCCTATTCTCAGTAAATGTTGAATTAGCGTTATCAAATCGTGTTATCAAGGGGCATTCACTCAACAATAACCTGCTCGCTGATGATCAGCGTGGGCTACAGCAGAACCACTAAACTCCTAACCTCATTATAGGCTTGATCCAAACAGTGACAAAAGAGCTGAAATCCAGAGGGGAAAAGCAGGTGTCTGTCATTGATATCAAGACAAGATTTGACAGAGGGAGGTATCAAGGAGCCATTGCAAAAGTGATATCAATGGGAACGGAGGAGGAAACTCTCACTTGTTGAAGATGAAGATGACTTTGATTGTTGGAGGCCAATTATCTCAGCCAAAAGGACCTCACAGCTTGAGTTTCTTAGGATTGTGCCTTCAGCCCAAACATCCTCAGTTGCTTCATCAATGACCTTCTCTCCATAACAGGGGCAAAGGGGAGGATGTTTGCTGATGATTGCACAATGTTTAGCAGCACTTGGACTGCTTCAGCATCTGAGGCATCACATGTGCAACTACAAGATCTGGCAAACATTCAGATTGGGTTTGATACTTGACAAATAGCATGCATGTTATAAAAGTGCCAGTCAATGTCCATCACCAACAGAAATTGTGATATTCAATGACATGACCATCACAGAATCCCTCATTGACACCTTGGGGTTAACATTCAGAGATTGCCACCAACCAGAAGGTGAACTGAGCCAGCCTTGGAAATAAGACGACACAGAGCAGGTCAAAGGCTGAGAAATCTGCTGCAAGTAACTCATCTCCTGGTTCCAAAAGTTTAAATCTACAAGACACAAGTCAGAGTAAGACAGAATACTCTTCGTTTGTTTGAATGAGCACAGCTCCGACCACACTCAAAATGCTCAACACTTTCCAGGAAAAAGCATGTTTACTTGACTGGCACCTCACCGAACACCTTCAACATTCAATCCTCCATCACCAATGCGTAATGACAACAGTGTACCAGTTATAACAGGCACTGCAACAACTCACCCAGGTTCTTCAGAATCTTTCCAAAACACAACCTCTATCACCTAAAAGGGCAAGGGCAGTAGACAAATGGAGAGACTACCACCTGAAAGCTCCCCTCCAAGCTATGCACCATCCCGAGTTGAAATTATATTTACTTTCTTTCATTGTCATTGGATCAAAGTCCTAGAAATCCTTCTCTAACAGCACCCTGGGTATATTAACACCATATGGAATGCAGCAGTTCAAGGCGGCTGCTTTATCATTACTTCTGAAAGGAAATTAACGATGGGCAATATGTACTAGCCTAATCTCATGGATGAATAAAAACAATTCCAACGTGTGAAATAATAGAAGCAGATGATCACGGAATCCCTCAAACGGGTTCCACTATTCAATTCTAAATCTTAATCCAAATTGGACTTACAATCCTAATAGTTGTATTCAATAAAGAGTCAAATCAAGCCTTGGGCTTTACATTTTCAAATAACTCCTAGTAACAACTGTCTTTTTGGGGGAAAGAGTCATAGACTTCTGCAGTTCTTTTTTTAAAATTTAAAATGACGAAGTCCTTTGTGACATCGGCACCAAATTTTAATTTTATCCTCACTTCTCCTCGACATTCTCACCAGGGGAAATAACCTCTGACCACCCTGTAACACTTCAAATAGATTGCCCTCAATCTTCTAAATTCAAGAGAATAAAAACCTAGCCCATACACAATCTTTGTAATTTAAACCCTTATAGCCCTGGTACCATTTCCTATAAACAGTTCCATGGTAGATTGCAGAACAGAAGAAACTAAAAGTAAAAACCTTGGGGTAACCACTGAAAATTTAAAAAATGCTTTACTTACAGTTAACCGAGCAAGCTGGATGGAAGAAAAACTTCTCTTTCCATTTATAGTGGGAACCAAACGATTATACAAAGCCTGAAGAGATGACAGAAATTAACACCTAATTGTCTTAAACCTAGCATTGTAAATCTAAACATTATAACCCCTAAGTATCAAGTCAAAAACCATGCTGATCAAAGAAAGCCAATCCCCTAGCTCACCTGGTCTGACTGACTGCCTTCATGCAAAATTCTGGCATCTATAGCTGCGGCCAACAAGTTATTGGCAGCTGTAATTGCATGGATGTCCCCAGTTAGATGAAGGTTAAACTGCAATGTGAAAAACAAATCTGGTCAAAATACATAATGGAAGTCAATTTTAATATAATGAACAGAAATATTATGAGTTGAAGAGTCACAGTTAATCAGGTTCATTTTTGCACAGATTGGATCATGTGTTCCGAATCAGTTCCCATCAATTGTAAAACCTAGTATTCGGTACATAAGCATGAAAAAGTACATGAAAGAATCAAAGAAATTCACCAGAAATTGAGAGATTGACAAAAACGTAGAACTTGCTATGGTGTGGTGGAGGAGACATAACAAATACACTTAACGGGAAGCTAGATAAGGAGCAAGGGAAACTAGTGTCTGTTATTAAGGAAAAGTGAAATACAGATAAACAGTAGCATAGTTCGATTCGGTCTAATAGCCAACTTGCATGTTGCTAATTCTACATATTGTATACAAATCTATTTTTTCACAACTCTGAGTAAAGGATGACACCAGTTGATGAGCAACAAAAATGGTTAAAATTTCTGTTCTTTTACCTCCTCCATAGGGATGACCTGAGCATATCCACCTCCTGCAGCTCCACCTGTTCAAAGGCAATCATTGCTTCAGTTATATTGAATTTCAATACAGGTTCCCATCTTTTTAATAAGATGGCAGTAGAATGATACATTAATTGGTTGAATTGTAAATCTTCACTTCATAGTGCTCTCTTGTCAAAAGTTATGGATTCAAACCATTCTCCAGAGACCTAATGGTATTCCCAGGACAAAAGCGAAACGCCGAAGGAACATATTAGCCAGAACATCCAAAATAGGTGACAATAATCTAACGCAAACAATTAGTTTTAACTAATAAACCAGTTATCTGGATTAATAATTTACAGGGAACATCAACTTTTAAATAAAACAAAGAACTGAGGATGCTGAAGATCTGAAACAAAAACAAATTCCTCGAGAAACTCAGGAGGTCTGGCAGTATCTGTGGATAGAAAGAGTTAACATTTCACGTCCAGGGATCCTTCCTCTGAACCAAGAGTAGCTAGGAAAAGATGATATTTATGTTGATGACAGGGGGTGGGGATAAAAGTAGTATGCGAATAAGTGGAGATGGAGAAAGAAAGTTAGCAGACAAAATGCTGGTTGATAATAAGCAAGAGAGTAAGGAAAATGGCAATGGAGACCATTAGTAGGTAAAAATGGGTTGGCTGTGTTGAACGTGTGACACTTGCCCATTTACCACCTCACTGTCCAAGGCTTCAGACACATCTTCCAGGTGAAGCAGCGACTTACCTGTATACAAATCTATTTTTTCACAACTCTGAGTAAAGGATGACACCA